AGAGAGAGAGAGAGAGAAAGAAAGAACACGCGGAGACAGCTGGAATTGTTTCCCGGGCTTGAGCTTCGTTCGAACAGGCTCTCCTTTTGGCACGAGTCCGTTGCCGAACGCTTTCTCCGGCGACACGATGCGAGTACGTGATCTTTTCAACCGGATCTGTGCAAATAGATCGAAATTTCGTAGGGTTTCCTCGGCCGATTTTTAATTCAAATTTAAACGCTATCCGTGCCTGTACATCTACCGACGAATCACCTAAATTATAAGGCGCGAAAAGATGTTAGAAATCCGAAGACTCAAGGCTCGTTTCGAAGTAACGATCGGACGATGATGCTGTGACGATTTCACTTGCGAGTTATACGTGGCGAAGGCTACGACGCCGGTGGAATTATGTCACTCGATTCGAAATCCGTAACCGGATAACCGATAAACGGCGGATACACGCGGCGAAAAACTCGCAAGACCTCGATTCTCGGCCACCGCTGGCTGCGCAAAGTGGGGCAAATGAGCAGTAGGTTATTATCAAAGCCGGCCCTCCCTTAAATGGAGAGACAGCATTCGCGGCGTTACGGCGGCCGACGACAACACACGGGCAAAACGACTTCGATCTCTCCGCGTACTCGAGCGAATCGCTCACGTGCTACTCGCGAGAACTCCCTCTTCGATCCGTCCTCTGTATATTCATGCATGCATGTATGTATGTATGTATGTATGTATGTATGTACACGCTAAATGCATCCGGACACGTTGTACAACCTATTTGTAAGACTCGCGAGAGCAAGTTGCGCGCACGCACTCCCTTCAAGTTTTGTTGGAAAAGTTTGCTTAAAGTCTCCGACCGAAGGAATCGTTCGAAGAATTACAGCAACGACTGTGGAACAAAGTGAACGCAAACGAGGATCAGATTTTGTGATAATCTATGAATTATTTATTTGTCACCCTTCAAGTTTTGTTGGAAAAGTTTGCTGAAAGTCTCCGAACGAAGGAATCGTTCGAAGAATTACAGCAACGACTGTGGAACAAAGCGAACGTAAACGAGGATGAGATTTTGTGATAATCTATGAATTATTTATTTTGTGTCACAAGATTCTGTAGTCGTTGCTTTTGCGTGTGACTATTCTTTCGTGCGCAATTTTGTAAGTGTTTTTCTTTTAAAAAAATGATTTTATAGAGATGGATGCAAATTCACTTTCAATTATTAATCTGTTATTGATTTCTTTAATAAAATATTATATTATGGCAATGTCGTTTCAAATTTAGCGACAATCATTTAACTTATTACAACATAATCTATATTCTACCCCTAGTAAATTGATCGATAAATATTAATAAAATATGAAAATGAATTTCAAAGTAAAATATTACAAATTGACAAGTTACTTTAATAGAATATTATATAAGTTGGCCAAGTGTCCGGATACTTGCGAGCGGTATAGTGTATTGAAAAATCTCAGTTTCATAGATGTAACGATTATGTCGTTTTTTTCGTCGTCTCGTTCGTACTTTTGTTTTCTTTTTCTCATTTGTTACGTCGTTATTGCAAAGACGACGAGGTGATTCCAGCCGTCCCCGATGCCCGTCCAACAGGTTCACGAAAGGTACTTACGAGGGCCTTGACCGACACCCCGGTGAAGACGAGCGCGTCTCTGGTGAACTTCGAGTAACCCTTCTCGCATACTCGCAGATCACCCAGCGACCTTGCTTTCTACGATCGTCGAGAGCGTCAATGGGAACTCAGATTAGCAGCAAGTTGCGGATAGTTTCGCGGAGTGGCGAGCTTCGTGAACGTTTTTTCTTTTTCTCTCTTTTTTTCTTTTTTTTCTTTTTTTTATACCGTTCGTGACCTTTCACCTCTGTGAAACATTTTATTTCCTCGCCAATTTTTCCTGCCCTCGCGGATTTAACCCTCGAAGGCTATCACCGTGAATTAGGAAAAATTGTTTTTCATCTGGTAACGAATGCTCGCGAAATGTTTCATCGTCGATTTTGTTGATTTTTGAATGGTAAACAGATATCATCGAGGCGAAACTTCACTTTAGCCTGAGTGGACTTCACTTCGATACTGTCATTCCTTAATAATAAAAAATTGCAACGTTAATTGAATTGTTTTACAAACAATAATTAGTTTTACTTTCCATCAAATCAACCATTGCAATATCATCTGGAATACTGACCATTGCAAACAACGTTGCATGTAAACTCGACGTTTTACCAAATATCAAATGATACCAGAATGTTTAATTACATTTGTCTAATTTAATTAGCTTCTGAGAGAGGAACGTGTCGAGGTGAAATTCCCTCAATTTCTCTCGATGATAGCCTTGAAGAATTAAAAACGGGGACGAGAAGCTCTCGACAAACAAACGTCACGAAGCTCGTACTCGTAATGCGATTAGTATGCTGTTACGGTAATCAGGATAAATTATTTGTTTTGTCGTCCAGTTAATCCTATTACCACGCATCGCGAAGCGAAATAACGTAAGTTCGAGGTAGCTCATGCAGTAACAACTGTTAATAGAGCTCTGTCATCCCTCTGTTGAACCATGGAACATCGAACTCTATCGATCTAATTATTTTTGCTTCTTGATCGGCTCAAAAAAAAAAAAGAGGAAAAAGAAAATAGAAGATAGAAAAAGAAAACCGA